TTTATTGAGTATTCAGAATGAAATGTTAACACCTTTGTGTTCTCCAAAAATCAAAATGCCATGAAAAATGATTAAAACTCATATGTTTTGTCATGTAAAGTGATATTGATGAAACTACTTTTAAATAATGGGCCCTATTCACTATTGCAGTAGGGTGCCAAATTGCATTATTCAAGATTTTAGCTCTCTGATTACCAAATTGCCAAAATTCTGGACATGCCATAAGCTGTAGAGCAGTCTAAAGTCACGAGAAGTCATATGGGATTTGTGGACTTTGTGGAGTGGAACCTGTGAATTAATACACCTACAATTAATAATGTGTTCCCGCTTTTCTGATGTCAGAGCATGGTTGGTGGAAAAGCCGGCTTTATGCTTCAGTGAAAGCATTCCACTTTCTTTTCACTAGAGGAATTTTTAGCCTGGCAGCAATAGCATTATAATAACTGCCAGCTGCTCACTTGGCACAAAAGGGCCTAGAACCAAGAGGCAGAGCTTGGTGCATTATATGTGTAATTTACCTTTTCTTTAAAATTTGAAGGCTTGGGCCTCATAAATATCTTGATCTGATGTTTGATAGCCTTTGTACACATCAGTCTGGGAGTACGCATGTGGAGCATAGCTCACAGATTGTAGTTTGGAGTACATTAAGTCATTTCCAACAAGATCAGAAGATAAATTATTCTAGGAGATTCATCTGTGAGTGGGTGGTCAAGAAATAAGGAAAGCCTTTAACATTAAGCAGATGTACCCTCAAAATAAAACTTAAAATGAGGGAGGTCCAAGTTGATCATCAGCCTGAATATTGGATAGTATTGGCATAATTTTCATGTCAAAAGAGCAAGGATGAATGTCCAAGATATTTGCGATGTAGAAACTCAAGAATGGAAAAGATATTTTCCTGTATCCTCAACTCCAGGCGTGTCCACCACTCTCCAGGCAACGATATAACAGAAATTAAATTTGGAAGGGCACACAGGAGCTTCAATTGTGCCTTTCTCCATCTGTAAACTCACATAGCTGCAAGCCACAAAGCACTTCTTGACACACAGTTCCACTTTACTCTTTGGTATTTTTTAAGTCTTAAGGCCTCAAAAATTGTAGTATACCAAAGGAAGAAAGCATGAGAGATTTAACAGCATTGTTAACGTCTTTTTTCCTAAACCCTTGAGCCATGTCTGGAAATGGACCATATAGGGCAAAATAACTAGCTAATCCTGGTGGTCTCTGCTGGTCTAATTTTGAGGGAGAAATTTCCTTATGATTTTGTAATCAGTTTGACCATAAGTATCTGAGCAACAAATACTGACTGGGCACTCGAACAAATTCCTGTCACTAGGAGCTCTCTTGCATCCTGCTAAACATTTCATAGCTCATAGTGGGCAACCTCCAGTCAGAGCAAAGGAAATTGAAATCCAGACTATTTCACCTGCATCCATGAAGAAAAGGAACGTTTTCCCTCATTCTTAAGAAGTCTTGCGGTCTGCATGAGAGTAGAGTATTGAACTGGTGTTTGGGAATTCTGATCTCAGCCCTGCTTTTAAGGGCATATGTGACTTGAAGCAAGTTCTTTAATTTGCTTCCCAGTTCCTGATTTTAAAAAAATGATTCTTTCTTTCTTGCACTCTTTCTCTATATTAAATAGATGCTTTGGAGAAAGAGCTGTCTTACTCAAAGTCCTGTACAATAATCAACTGATGGTCGCTGATCTCAGTTGTGGTATTACTGTGTTTAGTGCAATGTAAACAAATGCTGCCTTACTATAATAAAGCAGTGCTTTAATGATACATTTACTTAGGAGATTTGTGGCCAACCTGGTCTATTTTAAGTGAACAGGAAAGCAATATTTTGATTAAAAGCAACAACAAAAAACAACCTGCTATAGGTATTCCGAACTTCTAGTTGGGAGTTGCCACAACTGGGGATTGTAGGACACTAAATACCTTCTATTTGGAACATGGACAAGAGAGTAAAGCAATGAAAGAAATGGAAGAAAGATAGAAAGGTGACACAATTGAAGAGTCTTCCATGCTGGCTTTAGACAGTTGCTGGAAGGAAGTCTTCATTCTCTCTTCTTTCTTCCTCTCCTTGTTTTGGTTGCAGAGCAAGGGTAAGATTTGGTCTGTGCGCCTTCTTCCTGCCATATGTGCGCAATGCCTGCACCTAATAAGAATCTGTGAGGAGGTGGTTCTTTCTCTTTATGCTTTTGATACTACTTATTCGGCCCCCCTCTCCCCCCATTGTCTCCTTCTAGATGTACAGGGAATTTAGCCAATTTTATTTTATTTTTTCTTTCATATACATCTGTATGTATCTTGGAATATTAAGATTTGGTCCCTCTCGCCTGCCCTTCCACTAATGTTCCCTCATATTTTTGTGGTTCCCAGGCTTCTCAAACAGAAGTTTGATCATATGTGTGTGATCTGCTTCTGCTACTTACAAATTTTGATGGGCAGTGAGACTGACCAGCCATATTTTGTTTCATGGAGTTGCTGCCTCAGTTACTTTGAGTAACAGAAAAATAAACTGGTTTCTCCACAGGTTGAGTATGAGAAGAAGACTTCTCTGTGCAATGCCACAATAACAGTGGAAGACTGCGTTTTATTTTCATGCAGGTTCTTAAGCTTTCAGTGCCCTATGCAAAATAAATGTAGCTTCAGAAAATGCCATCATTAAATTTGTGTCAGCTTGTCTCAGCAGAAGCAGCAAAACTGGGACGGCTCTCTAAAGACTCTAGCTCTCTGAAATAGTCAGTTCGGATGAGGTTTTATCTGTAGGCAGAATAACATTAAGGAGTCCCTGTACGTCTGCCTAGGACTCTTATGTCCCTTGCCTGTGGATCTGATTGTTCCTAAGGGCACTAAATTGCCACTTGCCAGGCTTTCTTTTCAAAAAACAAATACAAAGAACAAAGCATAAAGTTAGATCCAAATTGACGTTGAATTTGTTATATTCAAAAATTTAAGAGCCTGAACCAGTTTTATTTCTTTGTTTTTAATTAGATTTTATCCCTTTCCCATCTGTGGGGGTGCACTGTTCTAAAGTGAGCCCTACTGGATGAGGTAAAGCTGGAAGTGTTGCACACTGATGCCTCCCAATGACCAACTGAAAGCAGCACACCATGTGTAATTGTAAAAACTCTTCACCTCCCCCACTCATAATATCATCATTAGATCATCTTCTTAAGTAACTATTAAACTTGCCATGTACCAGCCAGCAAGTGTCTTTGTGTTATATTCTCATTTAACGTTGTGCAGTGGTTGCATACTTACCAAGCGGGGGGGAACAGCTGCATCATTTTAAAAGGCATGTACATGTAGCCAATAGCTCTTGTATTTTTAACACAGTAGTAAGAATTTCACAGAAGCTGAAATAATATCTAGTGCACTGCTAATCTTAAAACAAAATAGAAAAAGCGTTTTGGCGGAAATGCCAATGCATGTAAAATTCTATCTACTATTGCATAGGAGCCAACAAAAACTTCAATCTCTTGTTGTCTGAAGCGCAAGTTGTGTTATTTAAGGAATGTATTCTCATTCTGAGAATGTTTAGATTTTTAAAAAAATAATATTCTCTGTATGCCTCTACCTCTTTGTCTTGTCGTCATCTTCTCACAATTGTATTTAAAAAAGACCACCATAAACCAATTCAGTTCTGGGCACCAATGAAAAATAAATTCTATTTTAAGGGACAACCTGAAAACCCAGGAAGTATGCGTCACTTTCCAGAGATAGTGTTTTTAGTTCAAGGTCAGACTGCTGATCTTTAACCCACTCTGGATAGTTTAAAGTACTTGTTTAACACAGGGGTTGTCTGCTGATGTCGATCCTTCTGTATGTTTTTCTTGGTAGTACTTAATGAGGTTACATATATTTTGATGAATAATTGCTGCCGTGTAAATTTGCCACCTACCTACCGTGACTCTTATGAATATTTGATGATAATAAGTAGTGAGAACTTCACTGTGATGCTCAAACGTGCTTAAATAAGAAGCGGCACAAGAACAGCTTTTGTTCTGCCTTTTTGCTTGTGGAAAAACTAAGTGACGCTTATACACACATTAGTAATTGGGCACATCTAAAATACTTATGCTCTTAAAGCTGGCAGTTTAATTTAAATCATAATTCTATCTCTTTGCGGGGGGTGGGATTCAGATGGGGAAGATGCATTTTTTTTTACAATCTAGATTTCTATTTTAAGTTGGGGCAGGGTTGACTGGTTGGTCTCATGTTTCTAGCAATGAATTAGCAGATGAGAAAAAGGAAAAAATGCAGTGGAATATATTTGTCATTTTGCAGATGCAGCCATGTTCTTTTTCAAAACCTAAAAATAGTATCTTTAGATCAACAATTTTGCAGACTTCTGTGCAATGTGTTCAATCAGTCAATCCAGTATCCCCATACAGAGCCTGTTTGTCTAAACAGCACTTTTCTATCATAATGCAAATGGTGCAATGTATATCAATAGGAGGCACCACTTCTAATCATCCCTTCATCTGGTTTCTTCCTTTGTAGGCAGTGTAATTTGTTTTGCACCTTGTATGTTTTTTCAGGACGTTCTTATGCGAGGCTGGTATTGAAAATCAGATTCCTGATTTAATTGTATTGAATTGTGATAATGTGCTTTTGTTTGCACATGTGAAAGTCACTACTTTCATTATCCAGCTTGCTTTAAACAGCATATTCAGAATGCGAGCTAACGTTTTCTGAGTTACGATAGCTTGCTCACTTGATTTATTTATTTATTTTTTCTAAGATTTGCAGGGCCATGTTTTTCTTCACTAAACTGATGTAGCACCACAAGCAACAGTTCTGTCATTCATAGTTTAACGTTAGACTGTATTTGTGCTTAAAATAATCTGGAATAGAAGCTACTAGAATTGTTTTTTCTAGTACCTCCTGAGCATTGAGAGGGTAAAATCTGCAAGTTCAGTAATGCTGGGGCTGCTATTTATAGTATTTTGCTTGAAAGGCAGTGCTTTACAGAACTTATTTTTCTTTCAGGGAATCAGTTTCCTCCTGTTGCAGCTCAAGATCTTCAATTTGTTCTGAAGGCTGGATACCTTGAAAAACGCAGGAAAGGTAAGTTTAATTAGCTTTGTGAAGAATATTTAGTGCCCTTTATATATTAGGGGAGTGTATTTAAAATTATATACACAAATAACATTATGCAGGAAGGATGAAATAGAAGTTGAAACGTTGAAGCATTATTATCCAAAAGAAAGAACAGCAAATAATTGCTACTGCAGTATTAAAAGAAATTCTCATTTTTTTTACTGACTAAAAAAATCATGCTGTGGAAGTCCAGTGTCAGCCATAATTCAGAGACTTTCGGATATTTTTGAAGAAAACGTTAGGAACGTATGCAAAAGTGCCATATGTTGACTTCATGTTTCAGTGAGCATCAAGATTTATTTTCCTTGAAGAGGGCAAATATTGATCTCAGCTTTGGTTCAGTCAATATTTACCTTGATTCAATAAATCTTATATTGTCACCTTAATACCTACTTAATGCTGCAACAACTCTAGGAAATATTTAGGAAGTTGTTCATAATTTCCATGTATTTAATGGCACACACAAATTTTCTTTTTATATGATTTATAATTTCCACTTGTTTTCTCATCTCCAATTTTTACTTAATTTCCTTCTTGATGTCATACTTTTCCCCTCCTTCATATCCAGATTTTGTTTCCTTTCCTTAGCACTTTTCCTGTCTCCTCCTCCCTCCTCCCTCTTTCCTCACTCTTGAAGAGAAGTAACATATTTGTGTTTAATAATACCATAAAATTTTATAACACAAATTATATTAATTGCAGACCACAGTTTTCTCGGCTTTGAATGGCAAAGGCGTTGGTGTGCTATCAGTAAGACGATCTTCTATTATTATGGAAGTGACAAAGGTAATTGTAATAATTATGATAAACTATTAAAATGATCTTCTTTTAATACACAGAAGAGTATGAAAGCTTTAGTGGAGATGGAAACTGAGAAACTAAAGTCATTCTGAGAGAGCAATGAACCTTTTAAAAGAATTGTTGGCTCTTAAACAGTGCTCTGAATTTTAAAAAGTGTAAGTATCTGTAAGTGATGTGCCGGTTTTCAAAAGCAAGGAAACTGAGAAAGAAAGATTAAGTTACTTGTAAAGCTACTTTGTGTGCCAATAAGAGCTAGCTAATAGGTTTGATAGTACTCTAGTGCTTAATTAATCTAGTGGACAGCAAATGCTTTTTCTGTCCAAATGGGATTTTCATTTTAAAACACCTTCTAGCAATTACTCCTTCTGAGTTCTTTAAAGAGGGGTTCTCTCCAGGAAAATGTTAGTCTAAAAACTGCATAGTGGAGTTCCATGTTTCTCTCTAAATTGTTTATGTTGTGAAAAAAACTAGAAATGAAATAATATGTTTAGCTAAAAGTCAGTTCTGAAGACTAGCTAAGGCTAGCTTCTGAAGGTGACTTCTAATAATCAGTTTAGAAAGAGTCTGACATAAACCTGGGGATATCACTTTGAACTTACAAAACTGACAGTCAAATAAAACACCTTTTTAATTTTATGATAAGTGTATTTGATATTTAGGAGTAAGACAAATGATGCAGAATTATTTTTTAGTAATTCTTAGAAGAGCAATTATATCTTTTTTTTCCCCCAAAATATTTATTTCTGGATAAACTTTAAGCTTTTTCCTTCTGCTTTTGTTGGTGTGACTTTTATTGAGATTAGTGAAGATAGTCTTATCATATTAATCTTACTTAATTTGATACAGTTTATTTCATTCTTTGATATGCTGATTCATTTAAGTTCAGCCTGTCTTTAAAAATGAAGTAGAAATAAAGTCTGGGTGTTACCGTATCTCAGTTACTTTGGACATTTAAGCCCAGTTTTCAGCTTGCTACAGTTTCCTCCTCGTGAGCTCTGTTTCCAGAGAGTGGTTAGTTGATCTGCTAAGTGTTCCCTTTTTTTCTTTACTGTTTCCTTGAAATTTACAGATTGATCAAGCTTTGAGAACATAAACAATCTTTCTTCAAACGTTTTGAGGAGGTGTGGCATAATACTGACTTGTCATTTTCTTCATTGTCGTTTTCTTCTTTCTTTGGAAAATTATCTCTTGCTCTTTGTTTATGTATACTTATCCAGTCTTAAGTTGTATATTGTCTACAACTTTTAAAATAAATAATTTTTTGGTCAAAGTTTATATTGCTAGTTCTGAAAGACTCTTCTGGGTTTTTGAATCATCTTTGGCTTATCATCTACTATTTTTTTGGCAAACAAGTTGATGTCATTTTTGCATATATTTTTGGCTTCTGTCTGTGTTAATGATTATGCTTTCTAGCATATGGCCTTTAGATTAAGGCAGGGGAACTGCCAATCTCTCCTTCTTCCTGCCACTTTTTTTCCTCTTGTAACAACCTGACTATCGAGGCTATGTTGTAATTTCTAATACCCATGCTGAAAGTTAAGAAACATGGAAGCACATTCCCTAGCACCACAGAGTTAGTGTCCTGTTAGGAATTGATTGTGATACGCTGTGGAATAGCTTGTCTTTTGTTTATGGCACTAGGCACAAATGGTTTGGCTTACAGATTTATAGCTTTTGAAGACTACAAATTTTTGGGGAAAGATGCTTCTGACTGTAACCTAATGATGTGGTAGGGGCACTTAGTCCGTGGAGCATCTTTTGGGAATTATACAGACATGGGTTAACTCTGAACAGTAGCTCAGGGAAGAAGCAAACAAATCAGATACTGAAATTTCTGCCCTACCTCCAGGTGTCTGATGCTCTCAGTGCAGAAAAATGAGCACAGCATGATGGAAACATGTTGTCTTCCAGATCTGAGATGACCAGGCCAGTTACTCCAGAGCTCGTGTATGAGGAAGAAGGCTTTTTTTTGCAGACCGATCTGAGGTACTTCCCTCAGCCCTCTGATGCCACAGTACACGAGGGTGCCCGTTGCAGTGCCGAAGCAAATTGCCATCATTGCCTGGAAATTAGATACCCTTGATTGCTTTAGTTCCACGGCGAACTAGTTTAGTAATGAAATTGAGCTGTCACACTGATGGTTGTGAACGTATGTACTGCTGTTTATTATGCTGTTTAGCTGCCGATTGTCAGCAAGGACTAGGTGTGTGAGGAGAGAATCCTGAGAAGGTTTGGCGTTTGTTTACTGGAAGAACCTGCAGCTATGTTCACTCCCACCACTATGGCCAGCAGTAGTACCCGCTGTAGTATGCTGCAGTGTTTGGGCCTTTCCTCTTTTGCTGTGACCTTTGATGCTGTACCAGCTAACTTGGGCCATGTAGAAAATGCAGCTATGCTCTCAACAACTGTAGGATAGTAGTGAAGCGTGCATTTGGATGGCTTAATGCAAATTGCTGCCACCTCCTGAATTGTTTGGATGGCAGCTGTCTAAATGATGTTGGTCTGCCCTGGTCTGTGCAATGTCTGCAGACATTTTGTATCAGCTGGGTCCTGGTTACTGACAGATTCCAGAGCTGATTCACACAACAGGAAAATTTCCCCTTGTCAATGTGAACCCAGTTTGAAGAGAGGCAAGGGAGACGAGGGATTCCATATATGCTCACATTTATGCTACATGTGTCAACTTTAATGAGTAATTGAGTGCTAGTGTATAAGTGTTGTGGAATGTAATGCAGAGGGGTAGCAGGGATTTCAAGTTCCTGCTTGGTTTGTTTTGCGTTGTGTATGTTTTTAGGTCTGGGACGTGTAGATCGCTAATTTGTGAAGGATATTTTGTATCTGGTGAGATGTGTATTTTGTTGATCAAGGTTTGATTTTTATGCTTAAATATCAGCGTAAATGTAACTGACTGCTAAATTTGAGGGTATAGGATGCCTTTTTATTGGATTGTGTCAATCTGTTCTTTCCAAAACGCTTTCAGTTCTTGTAACTTTCTCTTTTCTACATTTGGGAAAACAACAGGTATAGTGGTATATCAAAAAGTTTCAGAACCGGGTTTTCAGACCTCCTTACTGTTATTGAAAGATATGAGGCCCAGTCAGGCAAATACAGTACAGGCTAAAGCTTGTGAAACTAAAATAAATGAGACTGCTGTGGGTGGGGGTGTTCAAGGAAAAGAGAGAGAGAGGGAGAGAGTTTGCAAGCATCCGTTTAATATTTGCAATGCCTACTGGCTCATGCATGTCTCATTTCCCCTTTTCTTCCCCCTTTTTGTGGTAAATTTGGTGCAGCACTGGATAGTGAAGCAATATTATTTATCCTCTGAATACAGACAAGTCTGAGGGAATCATCTACATTTTTCATATTTGAGGATGTATAGGGTAGATGAAGGAGCAGGACTTAAAGGTTTGACCTAATTAAGTGACAGAAGTAGGTATTGCACGTGTGTGTATATCTGGGCCTGTGCTGCAATGTTCATTGCCAAGATATGGCCTGTAACATTGCAGAGGAGCGTGTTCAAATGACAAAGCCAGCCTTGATTTCCAGGAGCTTGCCTGGCCCCCCCTTTTTATGGTCTTTCCTTCCATAAGCCTTTTCCAGTCCTCTTTCCTTTGCTTCTGTGCCAACAGTAGCTTCCTCAGCTCGGTACCTTGTTTGCACGTCCACTGTTTTTCTCTATGATCTCTCTGGCGGTACTGAGGTACTTGGGCACCTAAGTGGTATGCTTTGGACCTCAAAGTGCGTGTAAAGAAAGTTAATTTGTTGCTTTATAAATGAATGAATTAATGGCTTCATTACTACTTCCTCACTAGGCCACAATTTTATATGCCCTCCTTTCTCAGCAATCTGAAGAGATCAGCTAAATGTTTAGCAAGGTAGTAGCATGATAACATCATGGTAATTTTTTTCCTTGTTAATGGACACTAAAAATTTATATTCGTTTTTATAACTTGAAAATGGTACTACCTGCCTGCCAGTAGTACGGTGTTGAAGAGAGGGATAATTCAGGGGCCTTTTTAAATCTGAGTTCCTGGACATTTTTTAGCAAGGACATAACAATGCTGAAAGTCTCTTCTGAATAGTAAGATAGCAATGGGCAGGCCAGTGGATGCACTGCTTCTATTTATGCAAAAGGTAGATAAATATATATATGTATGTGTGTTTATATATAATATATATATTTTATATATGTATATACATACATGCTACATACATATATAAACTTTTTTTAGAAGAGCATGACGACTGAACAGTGTTAAGGGAGAGGAAAGCATAGCTAGAGCTGGATTTGCAGATCTCTTCTAACTCACCTAACCAGGCTATTAGAATTCCTGCTACATGCCAGGCTTACACAGTTCTCCTAGGAGCAAGAAAGGTTCACAAGCCCAACAGCTGCTGATGTATCATTTGGCTGTTAGCTGCAGACCTCCTTCCCATAATCCTCTGCCTGTGAGCAAATGCATGATAGGAAAGACAAGAAAAACTCGTTCAGTTTTGACTACTTCACTTTTGACAGAATCCATGATTTAAATCTGCAGGAACTGTGAATGCTCATAGGACTTTGCCGTACCAGGATATGACGGCAATCAAAAGAATGAATCTAAGGAGTACTGAATCTTCTGCTGTGAGAATGTTAAATTCGAATCTCAAGAGATACAATTGTAATAAATAATGCATTATAAAGAAAAGCAACCAGAACACGAAAAGATACCATGACTTGGTCAGCAAGTCTTGATTCTCCCTGATCACCTGCATTTCAGTTTGTAATGCTGATTTAGTGAGTTAAGCAGATAAATATACCTGTATGAATTCAGTTTGCTCACACTGTTGCTTTTTTAAATCCTAGAATTTTATTCTGTCTGTGGCTATATGTTTGCAACACATGTTGATTTTAAAGGGAGTTTGGATGTGCAAACAAGTAGTTCCAAGTTTCATGAACTTACATGACAGTTACATGAAGGTTTGTATAGGTCCTTAAGCAGTGGGATCCTGATCAGAATGTCTGATCACGAGGTGCTGCAAAACTGTAGTAATTAAGTTTTTCTAATTAAAAGAAATCTGAAATGCAAATGATCCTTACCAGTATACAATAAAATATTCCAATTTGTCTGGTCCAGCAGTGCGTCTCTGTGAAGAAGAGAAGGTACTGCTGTTACTTTTTTTTATTTTACCCTAATCAACAGCGCAACTTAAAGCGTTTTCAAGCTGTTAAGTTTGTGTCCAGTAGGATTTAAGATTTAAGATTTCCTGGCATCTTTGTGGTTCACAGCTGCTAGATTGGTTGGTAGGTTTGGTCAGTTCACTGGGACGAGTGTTTGGCCCAATGGCATACAGGTCTGGCCTTCAATATACACAATTTAAGCTGTTGCTCTAAATAACGTGTTTCAATCTTTGTCTCGGTTTCTTCATTTTTTCATCCAAATTTCTCAAAGAACTAGATTAAACAAAGAAGTTTATTGCATTTTCATATTCACTATCTGAAAGAAAAGAATTCCTATGCATGCTCCGAAAGCTGGAAAAGAAATTACCATTTTGGAAATACTGACATTTGCTATTTTTAGAAAGCAGACATACTGCATATGGGAAAGTATGTGAAAGTACATTTAGCATGGAGCCATGTAAACCATAAGATCTTAGAGACTCATAATCTCAAAAAGCCGAGAGTTAAAGTATTTATAGATACTATTAGAATCTATAATTTATCACTCCCTGAAATCTTACTGTTTGCCTTCAGTTCCTTATGCCTTTCTCTGTAACTTCTTTCCTTTATACTATCAGAGTCCTCTCTGTTCTTCAGACTGCGTTAATTCTTTTTACATGTGCTATTAATATGGTCACATTGCCTTAGGCCTCAAATATACAACCCAGTCATTTCAAGACCCAGTTGAAGGTTTACCCTCCTTTGTTTTGAAAGTTCCCATGGACTCGGTTATGCAAGACTACTTCAAAACCTTTTTTTCTGTGTTTCCCTTGAGATTCTCTTTTCCTAATATTGGCCCTGTTTCTGTTAACAATGTTTCACTATTTTTGCTATGAATTAAATTTATATGGAAGAAAACTGTTGAAATTGACTCTCAAATTTCATTCAAATCTGTATTTCCTCTGCTTAAAATATTCTCTCAAATATTTCTCTCATTTCTTCTAAAATATTTGTGTACTCTTTCCAAGTTTTTTTAAAATACCTAGCACCTGACTATCCACTCTGTTATACTATTTTTTTACCATTCTAAATTCCTGATGCAAAATGATTTGCAGAGACTCAGATTTTTTTTTTTTCTCTGATGTATTCCTGATATGGGGGAAAGGGAAGATGAGGAAGAGATGAGAGCAGTGAACAGCTCATTCTGAAATGAGATTTGATCTAACTGTGGAAAAACTTATGCTTGCAAATGTTCATGTTCTTTTTTGTTTTTACAGGACACCTAGTAGTATACTTTTGCAATTCTGTTCTGTATTGTTCTGTGGCAACTCAAGGGCTTCTTATTGTTGAACTGCAAAGCCCCATCTTGGGAAAGTAAGAAGCAACAAGAATATTATCCTTCTTCAGAAAAGTGTATTCCATTTGTATGTCTCTCCCTTAGCCCTTACTAATAAGTTTTTGTATGTTTGTCTAGGAAGACCCTGGGTCTGATTTGTGGATTTGAAATGAAATAATGGAACTGTGTTTCCTGAAGCCATTGACGCTTATAGGTTCTGCCATTAAAAATGACTATATCTAATTTTTAGACTCTTAAGTAAAGTCCAGACAGTTTAAGGTTTCTTAAAAATCAAAAGCTATTTAGCTCTCACTAAAGCACGAAATATCTGGAATATATTTCTAATATAAGCATAGAATTCTAATGCCAGTTGAGTGCATGCAAGCACACAACAGGCTTTTCTTTCATGCAGATACTTACCTTGCAAAGATTAATATGCATGCTTAACTTTATACTCTGTCAGCTTCATCCAAAGTTCACAGAAGTCATTGTGGCACTTGTAATGGCAGCTTTTAACTGAAAGCCCGTGTTTTGTCTGCATGCCTGTTTACCTACCAGCCTTTGCTAATAAATGAAGCTGAGATGATCATTGAGTTATCGCAAGATGGTCTTGCCTTCAAGCCGGCACCTGACTATTGTGCCTGGCCGTGTTGCTATCAGGTATTATAGTGTGCCCATGGCAATTCGGTAATGCGTTCTAGTCCTTCCTAGAAAAGCGTGTTCTGCAAGAGCAGCTGGGATTTGTAGGCCTCCAGCGCTTGTCAGCGTCACTGCGTACAGCTGAGCTATCGTTGTCCTGTGTCCTGCCGTTCCGTGCTGGTCGAGATGTTTCTCAGGACACACTAGGTCGTCTCTGTGGCTTGCTGCCACCGGCAGTGCGGATGCGTACTGAGAGTCTTTCTCTTAACTTTAGTAGGTTCTGGGTCAGGGCTGTGACGTGTGCCATTGTCTTAAGAGTTTCCTCATGCTTTACAAATTAAGCACGTGCATAATGCTACGCTGGATTTTAATCAGGGGTACTTTACTGCACAGGCAATGAGAAGCAAAAGCAGTGATGTTAAAACTAGTCTATTGCTATAAACATCACTGGTAGAAGTTAATAGCAAAGGATATGTTTTTTTGTTGGTGTAATTTTCATTAGCACTGGAATGGGGTGTTTGGAGAGGTAAGACAAAGACAATATAAACAATAAAACAATCGGATACAATATGGATAGCGTGCGCTGCGTTTTCATTTTGCGCAGAGTATAACATCTTTGTATTTTAGTTGTAATGCTGTTTGAAAGAACTAGTACAAGTATGGAGATCATCTGAGATTAACTCTGTAAAACTCTATTACCATAGGAAGGGATCATCCCCATGACAGAGAAATATTCTCGGAAATATTCCAAGAGACTAAATTTGAATAACTTGCCTCATTTTTATCTTGACAAAAGGGTTTTACCTTTTGAACCTGGTATTTGTTTATTCTGTCTGCGTGTCGCTGTCTTCTAGGATTTTGATAAACCTCCAGCATGGAAGAGTGAGAAATTAATGTGTTTCACTTCATCTTCTCCCTGAGGTCATAAGTGAAGGAAGAATACAATTTCTAGGCTGAAATGAATTTCCTTAAAAGGGGACCTAGTTAGGCTATTGCAGGTTATTATTTCTAATATCTGCCTTGGTGTGATTTAATGAATTTTGCATCTGTCTGCTGTTTGAGATGGGGTGGAAGATTGAGCAAACATAAAATATTAGTACTGTGTCACAGACTCAATGAAGACATAGTAACACTTACTGAGGGGGAAGGGACTAGAAAGGGAAAATAAAACAGTATTCTGTGCCTGGATTTGCTCATGTAATCCCGTTATTTGGTATTTACTTGCCCTGGCTGAGAATTCATAAAGAGGGGGAAGCACCAGAGAGTTTGTGACTATGTGCATGTAAGATTACTAGCAGAGTATTTATTTGGTGACTGCCCTCACATCCACTCTACCATAATGTCCATTTTGCTATGTTAATCTGTTTTTTGCCCTTTCAGGACTGAAAAATAGATTTCTATTAAGTTTCCAGATAGGTGACAACATTATGTTGAAAACTGTTGTTTTTCCTGTTTTATCCACTGTAGAAGCTTTCCTCTTTTGTTGACACATATAAGTAATGGTCGATCGATTTGCACCTAAGTTATGTCCAGCAATGCTTAAAGTGCGGTTGTCGCTGATTGTTGTTGTTAATTAATACTGTTCCCTGCTGTGAAAAAAGACCTTACTTAACGCCGTTTTGTTCTGTTTGCCTTTGCACTTTGTTACAGGAAGCCTGAGCAAAATGCAATTGATGATGCCTCTGTCTTACTTGAGTGCTGCACTGTGGTCTACAGAAATTGCAAAACTGAATTACTTTTATTTTTGTTTGCTTTGTTTCTAATATCCACCAAAACATGCCAGAACACATAAAATCGGATGTAGGCATTCGTCTAAAGAGCTCAGAAGGAACGCACAGGTGCCACTAGCCCAACATGCAGTATATTTAAACGCAGGCCTGTTCTAAGTGATACTTTTATAAACCAGAACCTTTAAAACTGAAATGTAGAATTGTTTTTAAAACAGCCACATGGCTCTACATAATAAACTGTGGTAGGGCTCAGTACTTTTATTGGCTAATTAAACACGTGCTGCATTGAGAAGAATGCTTTTGGAACACACGCCTGCCTTTATAACCACACTCGTTCTGTGCTTTACTGTGTGGAAAGGAGGCACATCTGGGAGTGGTTGGGAGAATGTGAAGAGAAGCTTTTGCAATTGCTTAGAAAGAAGTTTAAAGTTTATTTTTTGGGTAAAGCGGTTAGTTTAAGGAGGGAGCTCAGCAAGTTCTCGGCTAAACAGGTTTTCCCATTGGTTTACTGAACCTGAAAGAGACTGGTATATAGGAAGCTTGTCCTGCAAGTTCCAGTTCTTGTCTTTCCCTGGATACAAGTGTCATAACATGCACTTCTTACTAAATAAGACCACCATCTGCCAGCACCTCCCTGTGGAATTCCTTAGGCATCCTACGGAAAAATGTACTTTTGTGTACATCTTCCTTTAATATAAAGCTTTATCTCCATAAGCATCACCTAATCATTTGGCTAAAACCCCCGTTCTTTGTAAAATTCATGAAATAGAAAACAAAATCTGAATAAATGATAACCTGCTGAGCCACTTACGTTCACTGTTGTAAATGAAGCTCTTAACTTTGTTTTTTATCTCCAACAGACAAACAACAGAAAGGTGAATTTGCCTTAGAGGGCTACACCATCAGAATGAATAATAGCCTTCGGAAGGATGCAAAGAAAGATTGCTGTTTTGAAATCTCTGCTCCTGATAAGCGCATTTATCAGGTTGGACTTTTTATGTTGACTTGAAATTAAATTGATAAAGCCGTTACAATCCCAGTTACTGAATTAACATTTCAGTAAAACAACTTTCACTGACACCTTAATGAAAAAAAGAAACCTTCGCTTGCTTATACTGTATATTCACATATTAGGAAAAATAATCTGATCTTAAAAATATATATATGTGTTCAAATATTGTCTTTTTCAACAAGAACAAGGAAATCTATCATCTTTATCTATTGGTCATTTCAATGTTGGTATTTCAATATCTATTATATAGTATGTCTGCAAGATTTCTTGATTGAATTAAATAGAAAAACTTAAAACAAAATATATATCAGTGTTAAATACATATTGTATTGGACGTAGCTTTGCAAGGGAAATTTAGGTAAAAGCACATATCAGCTGTGCAATTCAGAGATCTATCAGCTAGACATCAATATGGAATGTAAGTTTAATAAGTTTTAAATATCTGAGATTGCAGTTGAAAGCCAGTTAATTAAGCTGTCAGGTAGTGTGTTGGAGTCTGACAAGAACATTTTTAAGAAAACTGTACCCAGCAGTCTAAAGAAATTCATGGGTGTCTTCTAATTGTCAAGGGCAAATTTTGTTCATCAGTTCTGGCTTTGACATTGATGAAGAGAAGCAGCTTTTTTCTGCACAGCTGCCAGCTGCTGATCAGAGTTTCAAATCCATCATCCTCTCCTTCAATTACGTAAATTTGTCAAAATTAGCTGTACATTATAAGAAGCATCCTTGCAAGAAAAGTACCAGAAGACATGAGAAGAATTACTAATGATTCCTTGAGGAAGTGACAAGAATGCTAGAATCCTTCTATTGCTAATAAAATTATAGTTGCATTTTTGTCATTGCTACTACTACTTATTAATAAATGTTTAATAGTTTACAGCTGCCACTCCCAAAGAAGCAGAGGAATGGGTACAGCAAGTCAAATTTGTAATTCAAGGTAAGCCAGTCAGTAAAGCAGTAGTCTTTGAGATCAGTACTGCTCAGTGATGGTTGTTCTCTCCATTAGCAGATCCATGACATTTCTATATTTAGTATTCCCACTTGTCTGAGTTTTGAATTGCAGGTCCTAGTTCCTGATCATGTTGTTACTTTTACGTGACTTTACTTGTTTTGCAAGATTTTTGCTTTTTTTCAAGTATACTATTTAGCTTGAAAGCCCTCTGCAAGCCACCAGCTTGCAGAGAATGAATTTAAGTGTTTGAGATCCGATGAGATCTGAGAGTCATTTATTTTGCAAGAGCTGTATGTAAAACTTTATTTATTGATTGATTTTCAATTGTAAATACTGTGTTTTCATTTTGCATAAACTTCTGTTCGGGGCTTTGTTTTCTAGTAAATGTTAACTTTTTAAACTGCTGTTACATAGACATGGAATCTAATACTATTCCTGAGGAGGAGGCAGAGGAAGAAGAATATGATGATGTTGCACAAGCAAGCAGTGAACCAATAGATGATAGCATTTATGAAGAACTTCCAGGTATTGTTGAGATTTTTTTAATATGTGCCATGTGATAATTTCTTCTTCTGCGCTTCTAGGTTGATAACTATGAGTGACTAAAAGTAAGTGGGCGGAGTAACCTGATTAATAAGATACATTCAGATTTCAAACTTTGTTATGATGTTGAAAGAAAAATGTGTCTTTAACCAGGCCTGAGTGAGAGCAGTTCAGTTTTCTTGAGCAAGGGCATCAAGATTTTGCAGAAAGTGTAAAAGTGGTCTCACGGGGCTATTGGCTCATTAACATTGTCTCTGGAGTACGTAATTTTTTTTAATTAAAAAATTGACTTGCCTTACAGCTTTTTCCACCACCTTGCCCATCGTTTTTTTCTTTCTTCTTTTTGGCATTTGTATTAAGCAGAAGTTGTCTGTTACTTCATACATCATCAGCTACTACCTCATGGTCTTATAATCCTGCAACTAAGTATTGTGTTGGTTTGGAAGGGCCCTGGAGATGAACCGTAGATAAAGGCAACATGAGGATTGTCATTATTTTGTTTCATATCTTCCAGAGTGACTATGATTATACAGCAACTTCTTATTGTGGGCTTTTTGATATGGTCAAATAATTATACCCCTAGATGACCAAGAGTATATTTCAGGCAGTAAAACGAAAAAAAAGAGAGCTTACCAAAAGCTGTTGGAGTTGATTATAGACTTGCAGGTAGTGGGAGGAAAGTTTTCGTTCTTGCTTATATTTTAATAAGCTATGTAAAAAGGAACCATTCGGTCATCGTAAGTTTAAAAATGACATTTAACGGTGATATGACAATAAACAATAACTCTGTACAAAATAAAGTCTGTATCTCCTGCTGTTTGGGGCAATGCAACTATCAGCAATAGCCTGAGAGGAAAAATCGGTCACAGCATGTGGTGCTGACTAACCTTATGCATCCATTATGTTGAATGTTTTATCCACGGGAAAAAAAAAAAAATTAAAGTATGCCTTGATTTTAATTTTGGGGTCATTTGAGTGAACTGGAAGGAGCAGATAACATGAGTGGCTGATGAAAATGATTATCTTAACATTCTAGGAGAACTCATTTGTTTAAGAACTGGTCAGCCTGCATAGCTAGAGAGAGATGTGTTTTTTCCATTCTTTGAGTTATTCCTAGACTAGTCCAGCACAGAGGTACTTATTCTGCTGAAATGGGGTGCAGTATGCCATACATGCTGAAAAACTCTTCTGTAATGACTAGAAAATTTACATTACAGGGCTTAACTTTATAGCTGGAAGGAGTCCGCCAAAGCCTATTGCAATGCTTTTTGGATGCTCAGGCTCCTACGGGAGATCTTGTATGCTTGCTTATGCTTTAATTAATGAACTTCTAGATGTGTTCTGGGATAAATTACTCTCTCCTGAGCTTGATCTCACCTGTTCATTTGGATCTCCAACAGTAGGTAGATCTGTAGCAGTAACACATGGAATATTGGTTGAAGGACAAGCATTAAAATACTTAACTTTGAGTTTTATCTTCAGAGAACTGCAGACTTCATGAGATTCTATGACATTTTAGAATATTTCGCTTTTATCCCATGTTTATATCAGTTTTCTAGGAGTTCTTGTCTCTTAATGTGGCAAATAAATCTGAAAGGTAACAGAAGAGCTATCACAAAAAATGGTAGCCCTTCTGTTATTCAAGAAATTTAGTTTCAGTTTTTAGTTAAATAACATTCTTTCTCTACGATCTTGGAATAGTGTTTCAGCTTCATGTGGTGAAGTAGAGATTATCCTTTGCTTATTTTATGCTTTGTTCATCTTGTCTATTAGAACTGTAAACTTTTCAGGAAGGACCATCTTACCTTGCACAATGCAGTACATTCTATAATATTGGGTTTGATAAAATTCGAGTAAAGAATGTTTGTATAAGAAGGTGATTTTAAAAAGAGAATATGGGAATTTTTGCATAGTTTTGAAAATCAGGAATCTGAGAAAACTGTAGCAGTAATCAGCACTGACTGATGCTGTGTTCACTAGCTATCACATTGCTTTATTTTTTGTGGCAAGAGACAGTGTAGAAAAATGAATTTTCCAGCCAGGAACTGAATAGCTTCACACCATTATCCACAATGGTAACAGTCTATTAGCCCATTAAAAGCTTAGGTTTTAGTAGTATTAAATTTGTACTGTCTGCTGGCAGAAGGAATGGGTTGGTAGTGGGAGGGGATACAAGGAGATGTGGAAGAATTAATCTCTTGATCTGTTAAGTCACTGTCTTCTTTAATAGCACATACAAATTCATATTTACCACAGAAGCATCATTTCCTTATTCTCAGTGCTAGTAAGAGTGTTTAATAAACACTGTGATTATTCAGGTTACAGTCAAAAATGTCAGAACTGCCAAAGATTTCCCAACTTGGAAACCTTCCTTTCAAAGTTCTTCAGGGAATTAACGTTTAAATGTCTTCAGCAAACTAAACTTGTCTTCGTTTCTGTTTTTTTTTTTTTTTTTAACAAAAACAAATAGCAAGGGAAAACTTGATCTAGCAGAAATACAAATATTGTCAATGAAGACTCATTTTTGTTTAAGTAGCTATTCATTTTCTACCTTAAACTTTCTTCAGTTTTGACATGATAAGTGTGTATTGCAGTCCATTTATGCTATTATAAGCATAAATGATTCCTTAGCTATAACATAAAATAGCTTTTAAAGTATTAAAAAATTATGTCTATGTATGTAAAGCTTTCTGGCTGCATAGAATCTTCAGCTCAGTAATGTTTTAAACAATGGAGTTGTCTTTGTCAGAAAAGGAGATATTTGTCAGCTTTAAACGTATTTTTGTCTGTTAAGGTCCTTGGAGAACAAATTTGTGGACTAGCCTAGGGGTTTCAGTGACAGGATTTTTAAATAGCTTCTGTATTTTCTTTTGAGGTTTCTCATCTGCATGGGCCATGTACCCAAATTTGCAATACTAACTACTACGTGCTACCTTGGTTCTTTCTGCAACTCAGCGTAGTTTACGTACTCTCTACTAGAGTCTTACACAATAGGAGAAAAGAGGTCTTAATCTAAGTTATTTATCTTAATTTTCAGTCTTTTGTTTTCTTTTTTTGTTCTGTTCCCTTTCTGCTCTGCACACTGGCGTTATAGCAGTAGTTTCCACCCTGTGTACCTTAGTTTCCATTAAAATGATTCTGAAGACAAGGTTTGATTCTTATTTTGGTGCCTCTCAGCTGGTGCAGCATGGTTGAAAAGCTGCCCTTACAGAATAGATGTAGTTGGAAATCCCTAAGTGATGTGATGTGATGTGACATAACACTAGCATACCTGGCTTTGTCCCATTTATTCTCAGCCTGTCCCTTGTACAAAGAACTCCTGGATGAGTGAGAAGTAAGGATGGAGCTGAAATTTAGTGCTGTAGTGATCACCAGCTAGGGGAACTGTTGTGGAGAACAAAGCCTTTAATAATAATAACTTGCAGCAGTTCTTAGTTTGCTGTAAATTAAATTTTGGGATTGATCCAATCTCTAGTTAGCCTGAGGGTCCTGGGAATGGAAAGCTTGCCTTTATCTTTTGATCCCCACTATCAGTTCCGTGCCAAACAATTCGGTCAAGCGCAGGTATCTGGCCAATAAATCCATTTTGCAGTGTAGTTGGGAGCTTAGCTTCCTTTGTAACTGGGGCAAAGCTCAGGGAATGATAAGAAGTGTTTGCAAGTTTTATGCAACAGTAAGTGTGCTTCACAAAGAACCACTCTTGTGTGTGTGCCTGTGCACGCATATGTGTTTGTTTATTTTAAGCAAACTCTTTAAAGAGTTTTAAAATTATATTGATCTTATTTTAGAACTTATTTCTGACATTGTGTATGAAGGTAGGGAATTATCAGCCTGTCTCTTACTCATAGTTGTCTCTTTAAGTAGCATTGTTGTCCTAAGTGGGATTTGAGTGTAAATTTGGTCTGTCATTCAGGAAAACAAATCCCTGCCCCTTAGAGCCTTTTTATATTTCTGTTCTCTAAGTGCAGTGTCAGATGCACTGATTATTTGGTGCTAAAAGTGAGGCTTACGCAGTGTTGTGTTAATGAAAGTGCCTTTTCAGAAGACCTTTGCTTATTTTGGAGTTTTCAAGATAGGGTCAGGGTCCATAGGCCCAATACAGGGTTTGCCATTGAGCAGTCCCCGTTGTGGATTACTGCTGTAAAATCATCTCCTAAAATCAGTAAGCATGAATGAAGAAACTGTTAATTGATCGATGTGGGTCAGAGCAGTAGGTTTAAATCAGCAGAGATGCAGGTGATCATGGAATCTGAGATGTTATTTGTGAACACTAGTCTTAAGTCAGTATATTTGATATCATGGTACGTTGTCCAAATTCCTCTCAATGTTTGTTGTTTGCTGCAAATAAATATGGAATTCTTCTTTACTTCCTGTCCACGGAGGGTGTATGTAGTGCTGATGTGCTGTTGAATTTTTAGGCACAGAAAGAATTCTAACTGCCTTTTATTAGTAAATAAAGTGGTTTCCGAATATAAATTGTAAATCGGCCTATAAGGTTCTGGAATATTTGGACCTGAAATGACCAGATATAAGATCAGCTTTCTTGAGGGTATCACAAAAGATGAGTTTCCAAAGTACCTACTGAAAGTGTTTTGAATAATTTCAGTTAAGGCATCTGGCAGATTCAAGTACATAGCAAGGGCTTTTTTCCCCTCCTTTTAAAACAGTCAGGATAGATAGGTTATTCTTCAAAACCATTTTTTTCAAAGGTTAGATCTCAATGTTGTTAAAAAATTAATCTTTTCATTCATTTAGCCATTGCGTTATTTTAATATATGGGAAATTTTTGCCAATAGTATCTTTTGCATAGGTGAAGTACCAAAAAGGAGGAAGGGGTACTACAGGGCTTACTTGCTTTGCTGTAAATCTGCAGTAATTCAAGCAATAGAAGAGCAGTGAAAAGCAGATGTAAACTACTTGTCAGGTAAGGATGTTAGGGAATAGTAAGGATTTTTTCTGTGTAAAATGTGAGGTTTCATTGT